GGCTTTATCTACCATGCAGTTTTACAACGAATTAGATTATATGAAATTTTTACGAAGACGATCAGAATAAGCTTCTCATGTTCAAGGGGTCAATTATTGTTGCTATTGTCAATGTTTAGCGGCTCGACGGCAATAACAGCAGCATCAATTGTTACTACCGTCCTGTTTGAAAGACTGCGTAAATCTGCACGCTGCCTTTCAGTACTGCAGACAATCCATGATTCCGTGACGTTTACAATGAAATCACGTCTCAGAATTTGTGTTTAAGGGTACGTACAAATTGATCTTATGTATATAACAGTAATAATATTGTATCTGTAAATCATAACTTGTAATATTCTCACTAATGCCTGTGCAGGTGTACTGTCACAATGGAAAAATTCGAGGGGGTACGGCTTCTGCAGCTGATATTACCGGTCTCCTTTTGCATCAATTTGATCATAGGCAGCCTACTTTTGTTAAGAATACCTACCATCATTAATTACTGTTATAGAATTACTAAAATTGTTTGTCTTCAGAACACCTAGTTTATTGAAATCCAGCATATACTAAAGCTAAATTTTAACTTTTACTTGCATGACCGTTTCTTGATCAGCGTTTTGTGATTGCTTATGCTTTCGGGCAAAGGTACTTCCATGAACTACAATATTGTGTGTAAAAGTTAGTACTGTCACTTATGTAAGAAATGCAACAGCTTGTATCAATGCAACAAATTAGCTCACTCAGTAATTTTTCGTAATCAGTCTTCATAATGACTTACAAGTCGTATTTCAATGCCGAGCTCTCTTCGCGTGCGGGCAATTATATCGTTAAATGCCTCTTACCATGTGGTTTAATCAATGAATGTCTTTTTCTAAGGGGAAGCAACGCATGCAACATGCAGAGCTTCACTCCACGACGGCGTCTTAAATGGGCCAGCTTGTAGCACGGCGGACAAAGCACTAACAAATTTCACAACAGACGTTTCTCACTAAATTCTACTTCATCTTTTATGATCTATGCTTGAGTGAGCGAATATCGAGCCAATATACTGTTCCGCGATTTGTTCTATACATTCAGTAGGTAAAAAGCCGACCCTTTTTACCTACTGAATAAAAAATTATTCTGAAAAAATTTCTGAGCACATCCACTGACGCTGACCGAAGTGCGTGCTTCGAAATACATGTTTTATGTAAACTAGTTGTTTTTGTAGGCTTCGAGGATAAAGATAAGAATCAATATCAATAGTACGAAGAACGAGAGAACACATAAATAGTAAAAAGCCGCTTATGTCTAGTTTGTTCTATATCAGAAAACTGAAGCAATGTCTTCGTAATTTAAATAGGTCTATAATCTGTACTTATATCAAGAACTACGACCTGGAATACGGAGTCTTTAACTGGCGAAACCAATGATCGAAGGGGAAGCAGTAAGTTTATGGAATTAAATTGCAGCTTTAAGGTAGACATATGAGAGTAAGGTGTACACCTCCTTTTCAGCTATATAACATGGGTATGAGATTGGTGGCGATCGAGGAGCATGATTTCGCAAGTACACTCATTATCTTAGAAAACTCGTTCATTTTAAGTTGAATTTCAGCTAGAACAGAAAAACAAGATAAACCTTGATAATCCATGCTTAGTGGTTGTAATTACGATCGCGCTCACCCGATGGGTACATTCTTGAGTCAACTATAGACTCCAACTGTATTACTACATAACTCTTTCGAACCTTTGATTTTCTCAAGAAGCACGGAAAAGCTAATTGAGGGTACACAAAGCAGACATTGATAATTCACTTTCCCGAGGCTGTTCCTCTAAACGCTTTCTCGTTCTTCAGGGAAAAAGGACCATTTAAGTAAGCGGTCTCTTCCATCAAGTTCTTCTTATTCTACTTTCGATTCTCTTAGGGCTCACTTAGAGAGCAATAGTCAGGCCAATTAGCAGTGGAAAACAGTGTCTCATTGGAAAAAGCCGAATAGAGTTCAACGGGACGGTCGCGAGAAACAACGCAAAACTACTCGGCGCACAACTACAGAGGTCTCTAAGCAAACCCCGTTCGTTCTGTGACAGTATGTGCCCACGATATATTATGACAAGCGACGCCCGTTGCCGAAATCCTATAGATAGAGTCACAGGTAGGCTTCTGGCATTCGTCCTCGCTCGACAAGGAAAGTAATATGGAGAAGAACACTGTTACTATTAATCATCAGGTCCTATTAATGGCTGGCCAGAGACGACGAAGGGATAGTAAGCACGCAATGGCAAAGGATTGGTAATTAGTTTGAAAGCTTCGGCGAGCAGATTTCCTGTGACGGCTGTTTTTCGTGTAACGTGTCATATCGCCAAGCAACGTAGAAGGGAACAGATTTGATATGAAAGACAGAAGAGCAAAAAATGCTTTGCTAAATTTTCTCATTTACGCCTGTCCTACGCGGTCTCAGGCCAATACAGTATTGTTAGCATAATTAAAATAACGTACGTCATATTACTAGGTTATTTGTATGTGACTAGTACTATATTCATTCTGTTCTATATTTTTCTTTAATAGCAGACGACAGTATGATTTTTTTAGGCTTTGAATAGACCCACGTGGGTGTCTCGCAGCACTAGCAGAATCTGCAGTAGGCCAGTTCTCTCCGAGCATTCCTTCCGTGGCAGAATAAATCATATTGTCAAACAGTGGAAGCGCCCTGCGCTGAGAAAGGTTACCAGCTAACACTTACTAGCTAGATCCCACTTACTGCACGCCACTTAAACATGCCTGTGTATTTTATTTCGACAGGTGTCAAAAGGGTCGTGACGTGGTCTTCAGCAGATCCTCAGTCTACAAAACCCAAAAAGCTAAGCATAAACGCTTTCTAAGGTTAGACAGATCACAGTAGCTCATACGTGTCCCGCTTTAACCATCGGCGTATTACCGATGAGAGCACTCAGCCCATATGATAAAAGCAACGCTAAAATCACTTTGATTTCATCATTTTCATCGAGCTACCGTGAAGGTTGTGCACTACGATACTGAGGTGCTGGGTAAACCTAAGAGTATTGTTCGCGATCTGACATGAATCAATTTTACTCGCTCTATTCTTGGAACCGTGAAGCCAGCCATGGTCAAGCAAACGTGATTCCGATCGCTAACGATGTCTGAAAGAAAGGACAAGATCAGACAATCTCGTAACAAGAGAGAAGCTCTTAGGTAAAGGGTGAAAAATGCCGCCACTATTATAAACTCCTTTGAGCAACTTGTTCTAGCTATAACAAGCAGGTCTTTGAGAGTATGGCAACAGGAATAGGTGCCTCAAACGAACGGAACGGCATAGCCAGCAACGACCATTATTGCGCCCATACTGGGTGCATCTATAACAAGCCAATACTCATCATTACAATCGGCTAGCATCTGGTATGTTGCTCAAGTTTGGTCCACAAGAATGAAATAGTTATTAAAGGACTACTCCTAATATAGCAGTAATATGTAATCAGGTGTTAACACCAATTAGACTGGTTAAATATGGGCACCTATCACAAATTTAATTTTTTTGCACAGTCACTTTTAAAACGGCGACGAGCTTATTTTGTCATGGATGTCTGGTACGAAAGAAGCTCAGACCCTGGTTGTATGAACTTGTCGAAAACACTGACGACTTTTTTCAAGTGCTTAGGTGCCTTGCTGAAATCGTCCATATGGTTAGTATCGATTTTGACCTTATGCGAATACATGTGCACAGATTTAATTATATGCAGATGATAAACGACAAACTTAATTCGTTCCAGCCGAAATTGGCCTGGTGTAGGCCAACTATTTTTTCTTCATTCTAGTCAGAAAAAATAGGTGTTCGCACGGCTTTTCCTGCTTTGTAAAGAACTTCCATAGGCGAACTTGTCGCGGAGGGTATCTTGTCAGTTCGATCGCTCACCCTCCAGTTGTTTTGCAGTCGGTTTTGCACACATTGTGGGAAAAAAAGAAACAAAAAAAAAAAAAATATATATATATATAATGAGAGAGAGAGAGAGAGAGAGAGGGGGTGAGAGAGGAAGGGCTATTCTTTTAACTTTTATATTGTGTGGTAAAAATGAGAGTAAACGCTACGCGTTGCTCGATGGCCGCTCAGTGGCCGATTGCGCAATCGCTTTGTATGGAGACGATAGGACCGCCACCTCTAACCCCTTCCCAAAGAAGAACCAAATGCGACAGTAGCGGGTTGTTCATATCAAACCCATTGTTGCTAGAAGCGATTCGCTGTCGAAGCAGCGAACTTTCTCGTAAGTTTGAAGGTCGATGGGAGAGAAGCGCTTGTAGAGACTAAGGTATAGAATATCGATTCGTTCTGTGCCGCCGTCATTGCAATGGGGTTTAGGGGGTACTTACAACGATTGCGAGAGGCTAACAGGATGTTACGAACTCTTATGTAACAACACTTCCGGTGAGGTAAATCAGATGATCGAGCGACAGAATGTCTAAGTTATGTATGAACAGTTCGATGAGCAATGGTAAAGCTACAACAAAAAGCTCGCTACGCTCTACCTTTTCATGTGAAAAGTTCGCCCGGTCTATGCAAACTTTAATATCGAATGATACGTGACGCTCACAAAAAGAATACACTGCAATAAAGGACTTCTTCACGTCTAGGTGCCTCAGATGAAGCTGAATAAAAATCAGCGAACATGGATGAAGTGGGTCGCGTCTGATTACGCCAAAGATCGATTTAAAAAAATGATATGTAGCAAATAAGATGATTTTCACTACCGATCATTTAGACATAATCTGTATAGGAAGAAAAGTCAGATACAAATGAAAAGCTAGGCAAAGTGAATATTAACAAGCGGTACACTAGACGCAAAAAGTAAACGCTTAATACAAACATGACCCGGGTCACTAAGGTATACATTTTTTAAAGTAAGGCCTTTTTTTCAATATTTCAGGTGCAAGAATCTATCAGATTACAACAACGATGCGTAAATGTATAGCAAACCAACCAATCCCCATCTTCATACATTATAGTACTAGGTAGATTACGTAAAGCCGTCTAAGTGAACACGAGAACTAAGACAATACTGGCCTACGACAATTGACTAATGGCGTTCTTTTGACGATTATCGCTTACTTTCTTGTAAGAATTACATAATTTCGTGTTTTATAAGAACAGCGTGCTCATGGAAGTGTGTTAAAAGGTGACAGTTACAAGTTAGTATTTAGACATTTTTAAAAGGGGGCCGATTTGTGGTTTGACCTTGGCCGTGATCCCGTTTTTCTTCGACGCATAACTGCTAGCTCTTGCATTCGATTCAGCCGTCCTGCTTTCGTCAACTGCCGCGCTTCGACTACATAGTACGGCAGTAACTGCTCGGATCCTTCGTTCCGAGATCGATTAATTCTGTTGAGCGCCTGTTCCCAAAAAGGGACCTGACAGGTTGCCTTACCGGTTGAATGTCCTACTCGTTGATGTTTGGCGTATCCTAAAAAACAACTGATACACCTTACAAATGCGCCATACAAATGCGTATACACTATGCGACCTTGAACACCCTTTCAGACCGATTATGTGAACGACCGGCTTTCACCGATCCGAATTCAAATCAGAAAAAAGATCCAGGTGGAGACTGACAAAAATTACACAGGCAGATGACAACAGCGCTCGGTTAATGCACTCAAGTTATCAGGTTCCGATTTCTTTCATCGTGTAAAAGAATTACAAATTAATAATTTTTGTTTTTTTCCTCTGCGAGCGTGTGAAATTAACACTGGTCTTTAAAAAATATTCTTATATAATAAATAAAGATTCTTGAAGAAAGCTTTGTATGTCTAGGCAGCTGGTTAGAAGTAGATCCACAATAAACTGAAAAGGAGTGTTCTTGCTAGCCACTACATGGCGGGGTCTTGTGTGATTTGTACAGCTGTGTACCAGGTAAAATGCAGTTTTCGAAAAATACGAACGATTTTTATGTGCTAGTCGAGAATTTATTTTCGTTTTAACTTTTTTTTGCATGTAACATATTTGTAGATAACGTTTATGCCTAGCAATACCGCCTGACACATGGTTACCAGCAAAAAGTTACTTGCGTATTAAAGAATATGCCGAACGTGTGTGTTAGAACCTGAATTGAAGTCGTAATCGCGGCGAGTGGGGATTATATTAAACAAACATAACCGTCAGGTATGAAACTTTTAGCTTATTTGAAAAGTTGAATTATCTCTTGTTGTTTAGGTAGAACAAGAGACGAACAAAAGATGCGCCATCTTTTAGATTTGATTATTCGAAGGAAAGCATACCATTCGATGAGAAAAACAAATCTTGGAAAAAGTTCGTACCAAAAATGTAGCTTAGTCCAGCTAGAACTTTTGCAGGTATACGTCTAACAAAGACATCTCAAAAAACGACTTCATAAACGGGTTCCATGTTAGACAGGCACGACCCGCGTTCATAAGCAACGTAGGTCGACTGGGGTTGGCTTTAAAAGGTCAACGCTAGGCTTTGCTTTACTCGTCGTATGCGAAGGGGTGATCTGTACATCTATGAACATTTGCATTGAGCCTTCATATGCGTTTCCACAAAAGTGATATGGCCCCCACGACAAAGGTAGTGGCTGTCATCATCATCATCTTGTCAAACAGTTACCTTCAGTTTGTACTACAATTGAGCCCCTTTCTGTGTAGACTTGAATGTTAACAAAATGATACTATTTGGTTAGGCGAACAAGATTTTCCGCCAATGCTAGCCTACTGTGCCGGCCTCGGTGAAGTGGAACTTCTTGAGGTGTACATCACCGCTCCTTCAGTAAGATAATGATCACCATTATGAGACAAGCAAGCATCAAACACTTACATGAAGTGATGTACGAAGACTGGAGCACTTTCTAATCCTTGCTTCTGCAACAATTGACGGTACACTCAGTTCGAAACTTGAAATCTCTCACTAATCATTCCCAAATCAAAAAACGATAGTTTTTTTTTTTTTGCATCAAAAACTCAGATTTACCAAACGTGGCTTTTGAAGCCATTTTAAGGAGAGTCAAGTGTTTTGGATCGAAAACCTGTTAAGGATCTTCCGCTTTGCTTCAGGAAAACTTTCTTCGGGCGTTCCAGAAGGTGCATGAAAACTGCAAATAATGTAGATTGTGAATTTTTTGGGAAAAAAAGAAAGCTTGGTGAGGGTTTCTCCAGCGTGGAAAGTTTGGATAATGGCTAATTTTCATTTGAATTGCGAAAATGACGGCCTATTATTCACCACGACGAGTGTTAAGCTTTGTTTGGCAAGAACTGGTATTTGGTTATTACCAGGTATACCGAACGAGTCCACGCTCATACTACGAGCAGCCAACCAAAGCTTGTTTCCCAATTCAAGCGCGTCACCTTGTAGGAAGTAGCAGCACCTTGAATAAAGTTAGGTGTATGTTCAGCTAGCTAAAAGCGCACATCAACTTCGTGTTGGTTAACTTATTTTTCGATGTAGGGAATCAAATCCGCTAAATTGGTCACGAGTGGTAAAATAAAAACATATTTGATTTCTATTAAGAAATGTGCCAAATTAGTAAACACAGCCTGTATTTGTATTTGTCTTCTGATTATTCTGCTCGCGTCTTTTTCTCAGCGGTGTACTGACACATTCATAACTTAATGCTAAAATTTCGTATTTTTTAGACTATCTGCGGCCATTTGTAATGTGTACACTCTGGAGAACATTCGAAGTTGTCATGTGGAAAAAGAAGAAGAAGCAGAGCTCGAAACGTTAAAAAGTTAATTGTGCTCTGGAGCTAAAAGCAGTATTACCTGCAGACCTGGAAAGCAAACCTGTATTTCTTTTCCTACTAACGAGGTTCGTTTTATCATTACAATTATATATAACTTACCCGTTAGTTTCGTGATCGATTTCAACGCGAGAGCGTGATTTACTAGAAGCTTTTTTTTTTAGAAGAATTTACTAGCGCACTGAAAGTGTACATGTGTTTAGTCTGATGGTACCATTTTTCTAATTACATTCCGAAAATTGTTCCACCCTGTTAAGCTTATGGTTGAATCTCACTCGAAATAAACAACTAATTGGGTCTCGATGTCAATATCCAGCATCAATTCCTAGAGTAAACAATTGAGACAAAAGTTCTATTTAAGCTTAAGCTCAGTTTTTAATGACAAGTCATCGCACGCTATGATTATATGACCATATGGTAGCTAAAAACCAGCTTGTAAAATTGCTTTATTTTTGTACTCTCGAACTCTCCTATCCTGTAAATAATCATCAGATCGATTGACGTCATGGAGTTGCCAGAAAAATCTTTTCAGACCGTTTCCGCCGTTAACAGGCACATCGAAAACCTAAAAAAATGTGGAAACTTCACGTGCAGGCCTGTCGTGTCATATCCCCGAAAAATTCAAAGTTCGCGCTATAATCCGTATCAGACAGGTGTAAAGCGCTACGAAGCCAATGGCTACGGAGTCTATAGGAAGACAATCCTCCCCGACGGACTTACGGCGCAACTGGCATTACGTTCAAGGAGAGGCCGTCCGCGCAAAAACTTGGCTGTATCAGACGGCTGTGTGATGCAGGGCAAAATATGCCAAAACCAGTATACGCCGTACACCGACTCGTCGAAGTTATCGTTTTCACAACATCAAGTTGCAAAAAGTCAGAAAACCGATAAAGATTCGAGTCCCTTTGCAAACGTTCAAGTTAAAACAGTTTGCTCGTCGGAGTGCAGCGACCAAAGTTTCGTGACAAAAGATACCTCGCCGAGCGTGATCCTTAATTTTGCTTGCCAGATTGTTCCGAAGGACGAAATAGGGCTTAAGCATAAAGTGGATTGGAATAGGAGCGGGTCTCGATAGCATAGTGACCCCATAACAAGTGATACTGGTGATTGCAGTGAGTTATGAGCAATGATTCAGCTACAGAGCAGCGTGGATAGCCACGTTTAATAGTACTGGCTACCTTCAGTACTATACAATTATTTTCACAGTCGCCAATACGCATACTATATTACATGCACTATGAGTGGTTATACACATGTATAGCGCATCGATTCAGCCAGTCGGGACGTTCGAGTGGCACTAAAACCAGCCTCTCCCCTATAGACAGTCCTTCTTAACGAAAAAAAAAAGGTATCTTTTAATTATGCATATTGAGGGGAGCAAAATCCACGAAAAGACTCTGCTGTACACACACCAAACAATTACAAAGATACACCTCCCAAGACGACCTGAGGCCAAAAATGCACTCTAAATCAGAAAGATAGTCTCAAACTAGGCAGATCGATTTGGTCAGGAGAATACATTAAAAAAAAAAATGAACCATACAAGACAAGCTGATCTTGGCCCGTACAGCGGGATATTGTTAGTAGCGTTTATCTATGTGCTTAATTGTTGTCATAACAATAATTAACTGTACACAGATTAGCAAAGAAGATTTCACCGATCTTACCATAGAAGAGGACGTGTAGCGGGTGTCCTGCAGTATAGTAAATTGACGTGTAGCAAACAGGGTAGCTCGGTCCTATGGCCTTCATTAATGTAACAATATGCGCTGAAATATGCAGCGAGAGCTGTGTGCTGATTTCCCCGGTAAGTAGTACTATTACGTTATTCGTAGACCCGCGTACGTAATGTTGAAAATCGCACTGCTTGTCAACGACAACCAGTAGGAACTAGCCATAATTCTTCAACGAAGCATCGCCCTATCTTCGTTCGCGTGCCTGCGTACGACATACCTAGTTACACTGATTTAGCGTGGTACGAAGTGTGCAATACTTTTACTTGAATCACAATCGTTTCTGACTTCCAGTAACGGCGACCATCTTGAAAATCTCTTAATGATACATCTGCATGTCATATATGGCCGTAAGTATACTAGCTAACCGACATTCAGGGAACTGGACAGGTGTAGTCGTCGATTTCGAAACTGAGAATTTGTGCCAAGTACCTGAGGACGTCACCCGAGACCAAAATAACATTGAATTGCCGAGGTTTCTCTATACAGATAACTATATATAATTTAGGCTATAAATTGCTTTTCGGTGGAAGACAAAATGGATCTATTAGCCGATTGATTGCCAAGGGTTATTCTTTGAAAAATCGATATGTATTCCTACGCTGCAGAACTTCTCAACTACAATCTAGCCGCCACACATACTTCCATGTAAATGACACACAAATAAATCCATTCCATTTCTGTTACCTTTGCAGTGTGTTACCTTTAGGTTAAATTATCGTGAATATCATAAGTTACATCGTATAATTATAAAATGGATACTACGAACGCTCGCTGCAAGGTACCGGCGTAGATTATCGATAACAATTTGTAGAATGATAAGTATCACCTATACAGGTTGGCGAGCGTAAGACAACGTGAAAAAAGGCAGCAGGCGTTAGTTAAGGCGCATATGTTGTAAACTTTGTTAGCCAATTGTGTGCGCTTACGAAAAAATATCAAGCTAGTAAAAATAACCCATATATTCACCTCTATAGAGTGTGCATATATCAGTTTAAAGGTTTTGACGGGTATAAGAAGTTGTCGATCGAGTTCGAAGCTACGCGACAAAGGTGATCCCCTAAAAATGTGCCGCTGTTGTAGGTATGCAGATGCTGCTGGGAATAGTAGACACCCGGCAATGTTATTGTTTGTCGTAGAACTGTTATTCTTTACGATCGTACTCATTTAATATAACCACCATCCACCGCGATCACAGCTTCGATGCAGGACCTACATCAGTAAGTTGTCGTTTTTAAAATATTCATCCTTTAATCTGTAGAGAATAATCATTGTCAGTCAAGCGATGTGGGTAAAAGTAAATAAATTCTAACGCATCGCTTAAATACTCTACATTCAGAAAAATCCCGCAGCATCTGCATGGAGGATTCTTCGACTTGTTCCGTGAGGGACTTTTTCGATGCTTCATAAGTCGAATGATTACTGGTGATTATGTAGACTATTGATTTCAGGCAAATAGAAATCTATTTGGAAAAGAAGAAAAATATTTGGTCTAATGGGAGTTCGTCCGGCGCGGAAGGATTTGATAATAGCTGATCTTTACTCAGACGCCTTGTTTGCCAGAATAAGTTGGCTTTTTTGTTTTGAAAATAACTGCCTCTTGTCTACTGTTAGAGGTAGCGGAACAACGAACTTGCGTTACGACAGGAAACGGCACATCAAAGCTTTCCCAGTTGGAGCACTCGTTTTCACAGCTGCTAGCGTGTACCGTGAACAAAATAATAAAATAAGTTGGCCTTCGCAGCCAGCATTAGGCCAACGAGTAATATGTTATTAGAAAGGTGCCTATGGGTAAGTGTAGCAGGATAAGTTAAGCTGTCTAGGTAAGTGCTATCCAAAGGTCATCAACATACTGGCGAACTTTTTTCCCGACCCACTTAATGCTCTAACGAAAGCGTAAAAAAGCTAAAATTTATTAGGTATCTCATGGCCTACTGTCCGGCACCTTTTACTTCGCATTGGCCATTTGATTTACGCTAGATCGACAACCACAATGCAAATTCGTTCAAGAACATGGCTTGTTAGGTTTCACAAAAAAAAAAAAACAGAAGTTATTCCGCTACATTCTGAAGCAGGGTCCTCTGCCGATCCACTCGACGGATACATGATCAGGCTTCAGGTAACGCAAAGCGGTTACCTATGGCTCCTTCGCAAAGTGGACCTATGTGCTCTTCAAGAGGGCGGGTGCTTCAACAAAAAAAAACGTCAATAACAACAGTAATGATACACTTGAAAATCTTTTCTGGTAATTTGCATATACGCTTTCGATAAATCAGTAAATAATCCATGATTAGTTTTTATGTAGTTCTTTAACTAGCCAAATACGTATATTTGCTGATCTAATAAATATTTCCCTACTTTGTACCTTTTTGTCATCTGCTATGATTGTCACGTGCCAATAGCCTGGCTAAGGAAGAAGTTAGTTTACAAATCAAGCAGCGTATTTGATGGACTTACATTTGGAACCAGGCGTTCGAGGTGATGGACGTGTCATTGTGAGACGTTGCAAAAAAGGTCGTTTGTGGTTTCTATTCTAAAGGTGCGTTCGTGAGCTTAGCATCGTTGTCTTCATCACGTGCCGTCGTAGCTGTGCTGTTTTCCATTTAATGCTAATTCTGTATTTGACCGTTATGGGTTAACAATTTATAGCAGAGCTATATTTCTTAACTTTGTAATTTCCTATTCTGTGAATTGTAGTTACCTCTGCTGATGTAATGGAGTTCGCGGGCAAAAATGTGCGCGTGATTTCCCTTGACCGGCGCATTCGGGAGTTAAAAGACTCTGGAAAGTACACATGTAGGCCTGTCGTGTCACATCTGCGGAAAATTCAAAACCCCCGCTATAATCCATATCAGACAGGCGTAAAGCGCTATGAAATCAATGGTAATGGAATGTATAACAATACGGTTCCTCCTGGTGGATTTACGGTGCAACTGGAGTTGCTCTCAAAGAAAGGCCGTCCGCGAAAGAACCCCGTTGCATCAAACAACTTTGCAATTAAGGCTGAAAAACCTAAGGACAAATCCACACCTCCAAAGCCATCGGCACCAAGCATTCAACCTGCAAAATGCCAGAAAACCAATCAAATTGCGAGTCCGTTTGCAAACGTACGCGTTCAGACAGTTTACATGTCAGAATTCCCATCGGAAACAGATGACAAAGTAATCTCGACAGAGGTTAATCCGCCTAGTGAAACCTCTTTGCCAGAATGCAATCCGCTTAAAGCGATTGTATCCACAGAAGACGACTCGCGTCGCGAGATCTTCTTGGCAGAAGACAATCTATTTAGTGAAATCTGCTTTACAGAATACAAACTGGCCAGCGAAATTTCCTTGCCAGGATACAACCTGGCCGAACAGATCTCCTTGCCAGAGTACAAGCCGGCCAGCGAAACCTCCTTGCCAGGATACAACCGGCCGAACAGATCTCCTTGCCAGAGTACAACCGGCCAGCGGAACCTCCTTGCCAGGATACAACCCGGCCAGCGAAACCTCCTTGCCAGGATACAACCCGGCCACGAAACCTCCTTGCCAGGATACAACCCGGCCAGCGAAACCTCCTTGCCAGGATACAACCCGGCCAGCGAAACCTCCTTGCCAGGATACAACCCGGCCAGCGAACTCCTTGCCAGGATACAACCCGGCCGAACGACTCCTTGCCAGGATACAACCCGGCCGAACAGACTCCTTGCCAGGATACAACCCGGCCAGCGAAACCTCCTTGCCAGGATACAACCCGGCCAGCGAAACCTCCTTGCCAGGATACAACCCGGCCAGCGAAACCTCCTTGCCAGGATACAACCCGGCCAGCGAAACCTCCTTGCCAGGATACAA